TTTTCGTTCCATATGGAACGATGCATATTTTCCTTCTCGGGACCCATTTAGCTTTCAGTTAGAGCTAATAAGTTAGTAAGCAACAACGTCAGCAAAGATAGATCTTTACATCCAATACCTCGTTTTGGAGATTCTGACCAATCCTAACAGAGTTACAAATATCACAAAAACAGTAACATTTTGAGGAAAAATCCACTGCCAATTTTGCTGTTTTCCTACTGCTCTTTAAATATTAAATTTGTTCCTTTCCTAAAAAGTTAGCGAGCCACAATTCCATGCAAAAGAAAGACAATAAAGTGGGCAACAAGAGGAAAGGCAAAGGTAAAAAACAGAGTGAGAAAGAAAGCTCGAAATAGATTCGCAATTCCAAGGTTTAATGTTAAAACTGTATTCAAGACTTTTTTTCCAGATATCAATTTTTTTGCTAATGTCCAACGTAGCTAGTAACTTGTAAAATCTGTCGTGGACCCTGTAAAAGTGCAATCTTTTTAGAACATTGGCACAAAGAAGGAAAACCAATTTCAACAAGTCCTTTTCCGAAAAAAATGCCATAATCAGTACTTGCAAAAAATGCTTGAGCGTCAGTGTTAATTATCTACTACCCGCCAATAAAATGCAAGTCTACTTGGCTTTTTTGTACAAAAATCTCTAATGACTCTTTTCCATCAGTCAATGGGCATGTCTTTAATGCAGTTAAATGCAATTTAACGGGGTTAATAACTAGGAGCGCTTGTTTCTCCTCACTGGTCAGCGGTGTGTGCAAGAGGCGCATGTACCAAGATCCATCATGCTCTGGAACCTGTGTGCATCTTAGCATAGTCTAGTGCATTTACCGTTCAGCGATTTTGGTGTGTTTGGCAACTTTAGTGCGCTTTTTTCAGAATGGGTGTATCCCAAACGTGAGGACTCAGTTTATAAGCGGTTTGAGTTCCATGGAGCAAATGGCGAACGACCCGCTCCACGAACAACAGCGTAGATCTCACCAACTTACCTTTTGCCAACTATAGGCAAATGTCTCAGTTTTCAATTATTCATTTTTCCCAAGGGTTATTATAGTCTGGAATCTGCTCCCTTATGGGGTTACGTCATATTCTACATTAAGCTGTTTTAGGCAGTCTGCTTTGCCTGCCATTAGATCACTCAAGGTGCCTTCACATCTGCACAGGCTGTAACCGCTGACCGGTACCCTCCCAGCATTAGAGGAATCTCTATCTTTTTTGGGAGTATTTATTCTAAGTGCTAAGTTCTAAGTCGCCTTGTTGGAATCACATGGGGATTCTTCGGTTTCATCGCCTTCCAACACAAGTTCTTCGCCTCTTTCTACTACAGCGACGTCCTCGCCTTCCTTTATCATGTCCCAGCAGGATCTGGCCGCTGCCTTTTCTCAAGCGTTAGGGAGTCTTTACCTTGAATTCTCGTGGCGATGCAGAACCGTTCTACAACGACCGCATCAGCATCGGCGACATCTCCGTTAGCGGGAAATGTTGCACAGTTATCAACGTCTTCTAATACCGTTTCGACGCTCGTCTCGATCGTCGTCTACTGCAAGCCATTCATCAGGTAACATCCTCAGTGTACCCTCTTTTATTTCTACATGTTTTACTTTAGGTAATTCGTCTTTATACAACCCTTCTATTGTGGGGGCACCATCTTCGTGTGGTGCTGGCAGTGCAACGAGCGGACCACTAGCTATTTCTGCTATTTGGATATCTAGGCATCGAGTGGGACTCGCTGGCCCTTCGGACTCGCCTCCCACGGGAGAAGTTTGATCGTATTGCTGCTCTTTTGGACACCTGGTCTTCCAACCAGCACGGCACGAGGAAGGAACTAGAATCTTGGCCATCTCTAACATGCATGTAAAGTAATTCCCCCAGGTCGGACTTTTCTGCCACGAATGATTAAAACGTGTTGAGTTCTATGGGTGTTATAGCTGTGTTGGCTTCTTTGGCCTCCTCAGAGGTGGCGAATTTACAGTCAATAGCCCTTTTGATGCTTCTCTGCATTTGACTCATGCTGACATACAGGTTGACGCCCCTTTGAACCCTCAAAGTGTTCGCGTGTTTATCAAGTACTGAGAGACAGACCCTTTCCGAAAGGGCTGCTTCGTCTTTCTTGGTTGCGGCTGCGCCCCTCTAAGTCCTGAAGTTTCCTTGGTAATTACCTTCACCTTCGTGGACCGGGCCCTGGACCTCTATTTCTTTACCAGGATGGTACTCCTCTTTCTAGATCCGAGCTCTCTGCGTTCTTAAAAACTACCCTCTACCCCCTATCTACAGTCAGCAGGTGTTCCTGGAAATTTCTCCGGTCATAGCTTTAGAATTGGAGCCGCTACTATTGCTACCAGCCGAGGAATTCCTGACCATTTTATTAAAACTATAGGTCGCTGGTCAAGCGAAATCTATTATATATCCATCCCTCAGCTATGCGGACGCCCTTAGTTCGGCCCAAACTACAAGCCTCGCAATGACGAGGAGTCAGTTATGCATGAAATACATACAAACGTTTCACAATATTACCAAATCACTCAGTTTTACTACCTAGTAGCAGAGGTCACACTCATGACTACAATCTCAGGACAAAGACGACCAGTAATACCAAGGCATGTAACGAAAGGAACATGTGCGCTCATTTATTGCCTTCAATCAAGTGTACAGTGTGTAAATGATAAAAGTAGTAGTATATATGTATATTATATATAGCAGTTTTTGTATATGTACACAAATCCTTTTAAGTCTTCTAATTTTCGGGGGCCATTGCAATCGCTACTTTTAAGATGTATGGCTGAAAATTGACAGGTTACCTAATTTTAATATGCTCTTTCAGCTCGTGTTAACAAAATGTTTCAAAAGCGAACTGTTTTTGTGTTTACCAAAAGTTGATTACGTGATCAACTAATGCAAAAGGCCTATTATATGGCACAAATTTAACACATTAAAACTAACAGCACAGCATGCGCATTTATGAAGAATTTTAAATAATAATTAAGAATAGAAAAAATATTAGAAGCCCCGATAAAAGGCTTCTTTAAATAGGTTTGTTTTTAGTGCTTGCAACCCTTTGACGACTACATTGGTCGTTTTCGTTCCATATGGAACGATGCATATTTTCCTTCTCGGGACCCATTTAGCTTTCAGTTATAGAGCTAATAAGTTGGTAAGCAACAACGTCAGCAAAGATAGATCTTTACATCCAATACCTCGTTTTGGAGATTCTGACCAATCCTAACAGAGTTACAAATATCACAAAAACAGTAACATTTTGAGGAAAAATCCACTGCCAATTTTGCTGTTTTCCTACTGCTCTTTAAATATTAAATTTGTTCCTTTCCTAAAAAGTTAGCGAGCCACAATTCCATGCAAAAGAAAGACAATAAAGTGGGCAACAAGAGGAAAGGCAAAGGTAAAAAACAGAGTGAGAAAGAAAGCTCGAAATAGATTCGCAATTCCAAGGTTTAATGTTAAAACTGTATTCAAGACTTTTTTTCCAGATATCAATTTTTTTGCTAATGTCCAACGTAGCTAGTAACTTGTAAAATCTGTCGTGGACCCTGTAAAAGTGCAATCTTTTTAGAACATTGGCACAAAGAAGGAAAACCAATTTCAACAAGTCCTTTTCCGAAAAAAATGCCATAATCAGTACTTGCAAAAAATGCTTGAGCGTCAGTGTTAATTATCTACTACCCGCCAATAAAATGCAAGTCTACTTGGCTTTTTTGTACAAAAATCTCTAATGACTCTTTTCCATCAGTCAATGGGCATGTCTTTAATGCAGTTAAATGCAATTTAACGGGGTTAATAACTAGGAGCGCTTGTTTCTCCTCACTGGTCAGCGGTGTGTGCAAGAGGCGCATGTACCAAGATCCATCATGCTCTGGAACCTGTGTGCATCTTAGCATAGTCTAGTGCATTTACCGTTCAGCGATTTTGGTGTGTTTGGCAACTTTAGTGCGCTTTTTTCAGAATGGGTGTATCCCAAACGTGAGGACTCAGTTTATAAGCGGTTTGAGTTCCATGGAGCAAATGGCGAACGACCCGCTCCACGAACAACAGCGTAGATCTCACCAACTTACCTTTTGCCAACTATAGGCAAATGTCTCAGTTTTCAATTATTCATTTTTCCCAAGGGTTATTATAGTCTGGAATCTGCTCCCTTATGGGGTTACGTCATATTCTACATTAAGCTGTTTTAGGCAGTCTGCTTTGCCTGCCATTAGATCACTCAAGGTGCCTTCACATCTGCACAGGCTGTAACCGCTGACCGGTACCCTCCCAGCATTAGAGGAATCTCTATCTTTTTTGGGAGTATTTATTCTAAGTGCTAAGTTCTAAGTCGCCTTGTTGGAATCACATGGGGATTCTTCGGTTTCATCGCCTTCCAACACAAGTTCTTCGCCTCTTTCTACTACAGCGACGTCCTCGCCTTCCTTTATCATGTCCCAGCAGGATCTGGCCGCTGCCTTTTCTCAAGCGTTAGGGAGTCTTTACCTTGAATTCTCGTGGCGATGCAGAACCGTTCTACAACGACCGCATCAGCATCGGCGACATCTCCGTTAGCGGGAAATGTTGCACAGTTATCAACGTCTTCTAATACCGTTTCGACGCTCGTCTCGATCGTCGTCTTCTGCAAGCCATTCATCAGGTAACATCCTCAGTGTACCCTCTTTTATTTCTACATGTTTTACTTTAGGTAATTCGTCTTTATACAACCCTTCTATTGTGGGGGCACCATCTTCGTGTGATGCTGGCAGTGCAACGAGCGGACCACTAGCTATTTCTGCTATTTGGATATCTAGGCATCGAGTGGGACTCGCTGGCCCTTCGGACTCGCCTCCCACGGGAGAAGTTTGATCGTATTGCTGCTCTTTTGGACACCTGGTCTTCCAACCAGCACGGCACGAGGAAGGAACTAGAATCTTGGCCATCTCTAACATGCATGTAAAGTAATTCCCCCAGGTCGGACTTTTCTGCCACGAATGATTAAAACGTGTTGAGTTCTATGGGTGTTATAGCTGTGTTGGCTTCTTTGGCCTCCTCAGAGGTGGCGAATTTACAGTCAATAGCCCTTTTGATGCTTCTTTGCATTTGACTCATGCTGACATACAGGTTGACGCCCCTTTGAACCCTCAAAGTGTTCGCGTGTTTATCAAGTACTGAGAGACAGACCCTTTCCGAAAGGGCTGCTTCGTCTTTCTTGGTTGCGGCTGCGCCCCTCTAAGTCCTGAAGTTTCCTTGGTAATTACCTTCACCTTCGTGGACCGGGCCCTGGACCTCTATTTCTTTACCAGGATGGTACTCCTCTTTCTAGATCCGAGCTCTCTGCGTTCTTAAAAACTACCCTCTACCCCCTATCTACAGTCAGCAGGTGTTCCTGGAAATTTCTCCGGTCATAGCTTTAGAATTGGAGCCGCTACTATTGCTACCAGCCGAGGAATTCCTGACCATTTTATTAAAACTATAGGTCGCTGGTCAAGCGAAGCTTATTTGCTGTATGTGCGGACTCCAGTAGACACGATTCTCTCAGTAGCCAGACGACTCGCGTAGCAGGTATGGCGCTTATGTAGCCCTTTGTGTAACTCGGTTGGGTGCCGTCTGGTTGGGGCTCAGGCTTTCCCCCCGCTATGAGCCCCTTGTTATCCGGGCATTTTAAGTTAGGCCCGGAGGTCCTCTGGCTTGGCATGGGGCTCATGGCTGGGTTGCCAGGATTTCCGAGCCATGGGAGCGGTCTCCATCTTAGGAGCTGGCTGCCAATAGTGGAAGCTCCTGGGTATCACAGGCATCCAACCCCCACTTACCAACGCAGTTGTTAATATGCGTTTAAGAGGGCTAAGGATGATATTCTATTGAGGAAACTATTTTAACAGCACGTGATAGCCGTACACATAATTTTACTCAAACTCCTGTTAAGTCCGGGCTTAATGGCTTAAAGGCAGCTAAGCCACTGAAGTCCATGATCTATACCGTCTTTAACAATAGTTTTGGAAACCATTTTTAGATTTATTATTCCGTTGTTATCAGAGAAAACAACCAGTCGGTTGTCTGCTAAGCGCCCTTCAATCAAAACTCTTACACCGGCCCGGCCTTGGTTATAGCAGCACAAACCCGACTTGCTCCACCAACAGCAGGAAACCACACAAAAAACACTGAGAAAGCAAAGCTTTAATTACTGTTTAATGCCAATGACAAGTTATCCTTCAAGGTTAAGCTATACGCCGCATTATACAATCCTCCTTAAATAGTTTATTTTAATGAGGTGTTCATGATCACTCTAGTCTTAATAAGACTGCGAAACAGTACTGTTTTGGTCTATACCTTGAACTAGCTATACACAAACACCATAGATACCGTACTTTTATGTCAGATGAATAAACGAAGCGTTCTTGGTTACAGGCCTGACTCCACTAGAACAGACATCTGTAGTATCTATCAATAACTTGACTACACTCCTCTTTTTTATAAGAATACATTTTATAAGAATATCGAGGCTGAAATTTGCGAAATTTTAAGACTATTTTAAGAATAAAATCGAGGCTGGAATTTTGAATAGGATATAATTTTGTGTGTTAAAAATCTATATAAGTACAATACAATTATATATGTTTTTAACCGTAAAAAATCATTCCTTTCTCTTAACGGCAAAAACAAGCCAACAAACGAGACAACCTGCACTAGCCAATGCTAAATGTTCAATGCTAAGGACGGTTCGATGAACAGTACATGTAATATAAATGTACAGTATACAGCACAAAAGAAATGAACTAAACCGCAAAAAGGATCATGATGTATTCATTCTTTCTTAAACATTATTTAAGAATAATGTAAGCATATTTTCAACCTAAAATCGGCAGAAAAATTATTCAGCCTGGGCCGGAAAAACAGCATTCTTATTAAAAATGAGTGTAGTTCCGGGCGAATAGAAGTCAATCGCAGAGAACGCAGATACCAGCTGGGACTCTCAGGGACAAAACAACGCAGCACCAGCTTACCCAGTGGACTCTAAAAAGCGAATTATGCTACATTTATATTTTTTCGAAGTGTTTCTCAGGACAAATGTGCAAAAGAATGTTTAGAATTTCTCAAGCAATAGTATAAGCAGCGCGTGCAATGATTTTGAAAGGGTTAATAACTGGTTTGGTTTTCAACTGCATAAGAATACAAGAGGAAAGTATAGAAGAACAGCGTCTCATCGGGTGGTATTAATCATCGCTTACTAAACTGCTTCATGATGTTTACAAGCCTGGGGTAAAGCAGTTTGTGTGCGTCTACTCCATACAAGAAATCCAAATGGTTCCACTCTGGAATGACTTCGTAATGCACCAGATTCTTGATTTGCGGCTTCAAAGCCTCATTGTCACCCGGGTCACCAAGACCATCGCGGGCTCCCACGAACAAAAGGGTGGGAGTGGGCATGTCTTTCACGTGACACAATGGAGCGGTGGCCTGTGGGAGAGAAGAGAGTTGATCACGGTTTATGTAGGCTTATTTGTGTTAGGCGCTATGTACTGACTTTTAAGACTTTTTGACTTTAAATCGACAACAAGAACAACGAATTTCATCAAGATTGTCTTAATTGAGGCAGCTACGGCTTCGGCTGAAATATATTTCTATGCTGTACAAATCGTCCGTACTGCCAATCTTAGAATACGCAGCACCAGTCTGGAGCCCTTGTCTGGCGAAGGACATCCATTTACTTGAATGTGTACAGAACTTATTTATCCTCAGTCGAATGTTACAAGATAATGTAAAGCAAAAGTAATGTCCTTGGTATTTTTTTCCAGTTTTTTCCAGCTGAGCTGGTATTTTGGTAAAAACGGGCTTCTTACTTTCCGTAAAAATCGTATGGTTTTAAATTTTTCCATTTTTGTTTCCAGGGGCCCGTTTCTCCAAAGTCCCGATAACTTTTCGGGTTCGAAATCAAATATTCAAATCGAAATAAAAAGAATAAGAGCGCGGGTCCTGGCTAGCAAAATAGTCCATTTCCTTTCATTAACTGATAGTTTTATCATGTAAGATGCAAAACTATTGAAATGTCTATCTTTCATGTAAACAACAACAGCTTTAGGGGCCCGTTAATTATCGGGACTTTTGAGAAACAGGCCCCAGGACACCTCCAGGGCGATAATAAGGCAAAGGAATTATTGGTCATGTGACCTTTTATTACGTCACAAATCTTCTTTTATGGTTCCAGGAATAAGAGAAAATTTTTTGTTTTTTTATAATTTCCTTTTCCTTCTACTTTCTGCATTCAAGACAACCAATGTGCAAGGTCAATTGCATTACTATTAAGACAAAAAGACAATATAATTTAGGTTTATTACTGAAGGGGGGGTCCCATTTATTGACTCTAAATTTTTTCATCTTCAAAATGTCATATCCCATCCAGTATTTTTCGTATGTAAATACTGTTTTCGGTTTTCAGCTTCTCTTGACGCGCTCTATTTTAAATTAAAACGATTCCAAACTTTAATTTCAAGAAAAAAGTGACGTCATCAGTTATGACGTCATATAGTGCAAGTTCTACAAACAAGTCTTTCAAAATCATTGGCATGTTGTCTTATATTAATCTACCAAGCTTCGCAAGCAGACGATCAAGATCAACAAAGTTATTAAAAATCTCACAAAAAAACCAGTTTCAGAAGAAACATTTAGGGGGGCGAGGGCGGGGCGGGGGGGAGAGGACCTTGCATATATTTTAATACATCGTGAATAAATTATGTCTGTATGTCTTTAATGAAGTGTTTACAATTTCGTGGAGAAGTCAAAATACAGTCGAACCATGCGTAACTACCTATCCTAACGTAAAATTTTTTCCGTCAACGCGCTGTAGATGGAATGGACGGTCTGGTCTGTTTGAGTTGATAGTTAACTTGTACTGGTTGAAAAAAGAAACAAGTGACACTGGAGAGTGATTCGAGCAACACATATTTACTGACCTGATGGTAATGCTGTTTATTTCCTGCTGTCCCATAATCAAATTTTTGACACTTCTTGTTGACTATTACCTGTTTATAGAAACGAAAATGTCAAAACAACAACAACAAAAACAATAACAAGTAATCACGACAGTAGCCTATGGGTGGAGGGGGCGGCTGAGCACAGGTTATCAAGACATTTCCCAGTGAGCTAACGAAAGCGTGCTGCTAACTTGCAAAACTGACAATTGATTTCTACTTATGGACATAATTAAACAAACTAATACATGCTCAGCAGTATTTTCCATTTATAGCATCGTGAATTCAAACTTTTCATATTATGCATAAGGGGTTCCAGCAATTAACACAGTAAACTCACATTACGAGTTCAACTGTCAGTTGTCCTCCTTGGTTAATAATAAACATACCTGACCAAAATGCACCACGTCTTTAAAAGATGTTCCTTCCGCAAAATGCGCTAAGTAGACAGGCACTCTTGACTAGAATTAAGTTCAAATAATAATCAGCTATCACAGGAGCCGATAATAAGACCATGTTTTAAAAAAATAATAACAAGTAAATCGAAATAAGAGTTGACTGGAGAAAATGCACCTGAAAAGATCGTATCCGAGAAGGAAACAGGGGACAATGAACCACTGGAATATCCATTTCTGTTTTTTTTCTAATGAGATTTTGACGAAGCGGGACAATCGTTTTAACAGTGTATCCGTTGCAGTTCAGCTATTATTCAAGCTCACTCAGATCATCATGCATTTTTATACACACAAAAAGGAAGTCACATGAAATTCGCACTAAGGGAATGACTTATCCCCAATACATCCATATTTTATAGCTTCTTTTTGTAGGGAGGTGGAACTATCGTCTCGCAACAAACCTCATCAATATTCTTGCTGTCCATGCCGATCACTAACTCCATGAAGTCGTAACAAACTTTCTCTGAGATGGGGTTTGCACAGAAGCCTAGCTTGATAAGTGATCTCAAAAAATCACCAGGGAGTAAGTCAAAGGTAAGACCAGGGAAAAGTTTCTGAAAAACAGAAGTGAAAAAAGAACGTTTTATCGTATGTCCCCAACAACATCTCTTCACAAAAGCCACCCTGGGGACAAAAGCGAGTAACATACAGTGAGTAGTTCATCAGTTTTTTTTTTGGTCGCTCGCTTCTTAAAACTTCTTAAAACCCGCTGTTGAGAGGTTATTTTGGGAGTAAGCGGGCAGTTAAGTGGCCGTTGTCGTTGTGTAGTGGTTCAACATTTAATAAAGAGTATATTACAGGGATGATGGCTGTGGTGGTACGTACGGCTAATGCTTTGCATTTATACCAAGAGAGACTTTTTGCAGGACGGATACAGACATTCAGAAAGACTGAGCCGACGATAGACTTGCCAGCTATAAAGATACTACTTATTTATTAATGAAGAAACGTTGTAGAGGTTAGATTAGACTGGAAATTGTTTAAAAA